AATAAGTCCATCTTTCCATTTTAAAGAAAACTGCGCCTGCGCTGGCTTAAATGTCAGCGATTTGATATTACTACCACTACGTTAGTCACAGGAGAAGAAATCACTTTGTCTTTCCAATCAAGGGGGTTATTTTAAAGACTATGTAGAATTACAAAGACCATGTCAGAAATAAGTCTTTCCTTTATTTTAGCTCTACCTCAGACTATTGGCTATTTTTACTGCCACTATAGAAAGTTTAAACCAACTTATTCCTGTTTTCTACCAAAGCTCACCATCATCTATGAAATTAACACAGACATATGTTTGTGAATGAACTACACATAAGAGAATTCTGAAAAGACTGAAAAAGTCTTTTAATAATAATGCATATTTGTTGTACTAAAATACCATTTTAAAAAACTGTCCATTAGATTTAGAGAATTCAGAATGATTTATAGTAAGACATATAAGCAAAATGTATAAAACTATCAGTCTCTGTGCAAAAACTGATAAGAAAGTATTCAAACTATGTAATACACAATTTGAGAATTTTCTGTGTACAGACCGTTCACTCATGTTTTTGTTACCCAAATTCAACTATGTTGTCCTCTTTTAGTAATTTATTTCATTTAGTAGCTGAAGTCACTCAGTTCTCTAAAATTCAACTGCATTCTCTGAAAGTAGGGATAAGAACACCCAATTCCAGGACAGGAATGAAGAGCAAGGTCTCCTTCCTCCAAAATGCTAAGAGTGAATGAATTCAAACGTACATCAAAGTGCTTCCTATTTTTTCTCCAACAACACACTGTGCTTTACTTGATCTGGTACAAACGTAATTGCTATTTCAGATGACCTCATGTAATTTGAAAACAATAAACAAATTTGTTTTAATCATGCCTTAAGTTCCAATAAATCAACAATTTTTCTTTAATTTTAAGTGTGAAATAAAAATCTACTAGTTGTCCGTACAGTTTGACAGTTTAAAATGCCCATTCTTTTTAAAGACATTATCTTGAAATATAAGAGTTAAAGAAAGAACGTGTGAACTACTTCAAAAGGGGCTATATGAATGTATGCGGCATTTGAAGTACAAGAAATCCATTTATTGCAAAAATGAATTCAACAAAAACCTTACACTGTATAAACTGCATCATCCAGTATATAAGTTTTAGCACACATTTCACAGCACTAATAAAACCGCAACATAATACTGCCTAGATGTTGATGACAACAGGCTTTTAATTTATTTTCTGCCTCCAAAGGCAGGCAAAGAGAGAAAAAAGTGGGGGCGGGGGAGAAAGTATCAAAACCTGTGGGACAACATTAAAAAAAAAGTTAAGTGTACATGGAGATGAGAGACAAAATGGGGAAGGCAAAATATCTAAAGAGAAGACACTGGGGCCGGCCTGGTGGTGCACTGCTACAGTGCGCCGCTTGGGGCCGGCCCGGTGGCGCACTGCTACAGTGCGCCGCTTGGGAGCGTGGCGGCGCTCCCTCCAAGGGTTCGGATCCCACATGCAGACCGGCCGCTCACTGGCTGAGCGAGGTGTGGGGGCAACACCGAGGGCTGCGATCCCGTNATGGGCGCGACACTGAGGGTTGCGATCCATTGCCGGTCACGAAAAAAGACAAAAAAAAGGAAAAAAAAAAAAAAAAAAGAGAAGACACTGGCTAAAAATTTTCCAAAACTGATTAAAAATTAAAATCAATCCATAGAACAAAGGTGTTCAGTGAACCTCGAGCAGGATACACACAACGATCACATCTAGGTTCACCACCATCAAAGCGATAAAAATCAAATATAAAAAGAAAATCTTCAAACCACCAGAGAAGAGACACATGACATTCAGGAGAATCATAACAAGAGTTGGGACTGACTTCTTACCAAACAATGGAAGCCAGAGGAGGACAGAAAGATGTCTTTGAAGTGCTGAACGATAACGCTCTCAATCTAGAATTCTTATGGAGCAAAAACATTCTTCAAAAAGTGAAGGCAAAGTAGGGTCATTTCTAGAAACACAAAAGCTAAGACAATTTGCTGGCAGGAGTTCTTCACCACAATGCTAAACACTGTTCTTAAAACTAAAGAGACAGTATGGAAACTTCTCAAACAACTACAGATAGAACTGCCATAAGACCCAGCAGTCCCACTACAGGGTATGTATCCAAAGGAATGGAAGTCACCATGTGGAAGGGACGCCTGCACTCCCATGTTCATCGCAGCTCTATTTACAACAGCCAAGAGTTCAAACCAACCTAAATGTCCATCAAAGGTCAACTGGATAAGGAAAATGTGGTATATGTACACAATGGAATACTGCTCTGCCAGAAAAAGAATGAAATTTTGCTTTTCGCAGCAACTTGGAAAAGGTTGGAGAAAATTATGTTAAATGAAACAAGCCAGAAACAGAAAGAGGAATACTGCATGTCCT